GTTTTAACAAGGTTAACCAGCTCCCTTTCCTGGATACCCCTTTTCCATTGTTTTTTGTGATGTGGTCCTTGCCTATTTCTTCTCTTTACCCCTCTAGGCTATCCTCATTTTCCCTTTCTCAGTCATCACCTGTCACCTACCCTTCTAACCAGGTAGATTCCCGGGCCCTGATCTCTTTTCTTTCTCCCTTCTCTAACCTAGTGACCTCATCAGCTCTAATGGGTTCACTTATTTACATAGATCACTTCCAGATCTATGTATCTGGCATTTCTCTCTCTTTCTTAAACATAGTCCCACATTTCTGTTGCCTTTTGGAAAACTCTGAACTGGCATCTTAGCCTCTCAAACACATCATATTGCCTATATTTTCCCCCAAATCTGCAAGTCAGGAAAATGTTCCTGTTTGTGTTGAGACAATTATCATCTTTCCAGGCACCCAGATTCAAAACCTTAGCATTATTCTTAATTCTTCCTTTTCTCTCACTTTACGTATCTATATAGCTGAGCCTTCTGCCCTTCTTTTTGCTTACAGACACCACTCTACTTCAGGACCTTCTCTTTCACTTCAACTATTGTAAAAACTCTCACCTGTGGCTCCAAGAAGCTGTAGTATGTGCAGAACCACACCCTGGTAAACTGTCTAGGCAGATGGGCCATACCAGTTTGAGAGTAACAGGTCTCAAATCTATCAGTGAGTTAGGGGGATATCTAACCCAGCATGTGAAGACTTTTACAGGCAGAATGGACAGAGGAGAGCAATTTGAAGGCAGCTGAAGCAGGTGCTGTGGAATGCTTACAGCTTGGTCAGACATTGAAGACAGCAAGGTCATCTGCTGCATCCCAGGCCATCACCGGTTGTCCTGACTTTTGTCTTGCCACTGGACTTTGATGATTCAGGAAGAGATAGTGATGCTGACAATTTTGCACAACTCTGCCTCATTTAAATTCAGTTCATGAGCAAGTTAAGACATTGGTCCTCTTCAAAAATGAAGGACAAACAACAATTTTGAAATAGCTTTCTGATTGGTCTCCCAGTCTCATAGCATTTCCCTCTCCAATCCATCTTCTTATAGCTACAAGAATAATCTTCCTAAAACTTAAGACCACGTCACTCTACTGCTCAAGATTCTTCTCAATTTGGCACTAGCCTTTCTACACTTACTTCATGTTAATAACCCTTTGGGTACTCTATGTTTCACCCAAACTGGGCTACCTGTTTCCTCAGACTTATTTTCATCATCCAATCTCCCACCTCCTTGCCTTTGCTCAAATTTTCCCCTGTGACCAGAATGTATTCCTTCCTTCTTCAACTAAGCTACTTCAAGACTCAGTTCATGTGTCTGCCACCTTCCCTTCTAGTCTCCCAACTTTTTAGTGTTCTCTTTCTCCTCAAATTATCTCATATCTACTTACCTTTATATATGTTGTGTCTATTTTAGTTGTGTGGCTGAGGTCACAATCTGGTTACCTTGATTACCACCAGTGATCCTGGGCCTTTTAGGTAGGGAAGCAGTACCTAAACAGCCAATTAAAATTTTTTCATTCCACTTTTGTTGAACAATTCATAGATAAATGAATTAGAATATAGTTTGTATCAACTTAACACTGGAATTCAGGTGGCCTGACTATATTGCTGTTTTTTTTATTGTTTAACTTTTCTTAAATTTACTCAGTTCAATTCAGCAAGCATTTATTAATTACCTACTATGTGACAGGAACAAAAGAAAGAAAGACACACCTAGGAGCACCAAGGAGCTTGTATCCTACTGGGAATAAATAATAGTGCACAAATATAGTAAACACAAACTATGTGGGGAAACACTAACAACTGAGGGAATCAGGAGAGGCTTCTTCTCGATTTAGCTGAGTCTTGAAGCGGCCTGGGCTTCTACAAGGCAGAAATGAGGAAGGAAAGCCTTTCAAGCCTGTAGGAGGCGGCCTGTCTTTGGGCAAGCAGGTGTCAGACGGAACGTTATATACAGGGAACATCAAGTAGGCCGCTTTGGCTAGGATGGAGAATTCATTAAGGAAAAATAAATGTGCAGTTCAGGCAGCTAGAGGCCGTGGTGGATAGAGTGCCAGGCTTGGAGTCAGAAAGACCTGAGTTCACTCTGGGCAAGTCACTAACCCTGTTCGCCTCAGTTTCCTCATCTGTCAAATGAGCTGGAGAAGGAAATGGCAAACCACTCCAGTATCTCTGCCAAGGAAATCTCAGATGGGGTCAAGAAGAGTCGAACCCAACTGAAACAACTCAACAGCAAAAACAGTATAAAATCACTTTAGTGTTGATGTTGCTCTCCCCAAAAATATTTTCCAATGCCACTGTCGAAGAAAGAGAGAATAATGACTTTACCTGATAGAGTTTTCTTCTTTTTTTTTCACATTTTTTTATTACTTTATTTTGATTTATCAGCAGCTACTTCCATAAGCTTTTGAGTTTTAAATTTTTTCTCCCCCCTCTCTTCCCAGGACAGTTCAAAATCTGATACAGGCTCTGATAGCGTTTTCTTTAGCCAAGGTAGCATAGACCTACTGTTGCCTGCTTCTGCATGAATGTGATCCAGGTTCTCCCCAGAAAATATCGCCTACAGGTGATAGGCCCTGCTGCTTTCGTCTCTAGAGCTGTACTATGTCCTTAAGAGGTCTGTGGTTTGGAAGGAGAGATGGTAATCATATCTAAGCTCCTTTTGCGCCCTTCCTTTGGACTACATACATCGAATGTTACCAGAATAATTACGGCATAGGTTCATGACCCTGGGTAAGCAAACCAGTCCTAACTGGGCACTTACGGGAAACTGGCCTGCAGTTGAAAACCCAGCCATGGATAATCCACAGATTGTGTCATTTGTGTATTTAGTATCAAGAATTACTACTGTGAAATGTTTAGCAACACCTGAAATTACTCACTTTCAAGATTTTCTCTTCATATACTTCCTGTCTACATAACTCTTAAGAATAGACTTAAATGATTGTTGAGGTCATGAAAGTTAAGCTTGGGCTTGTCAGTATTAGGAGTTTTCATTTCTGTGTTTATATTATCTAAGATACTGGGGATGAGGGTGCCAGGTAGTGATCATCAGATTGCACTTAGGTACATAGAATCTTGTATCTTTAATCTTTGAAGTGTGTACAGGGTGCTAGCAGGTATAAATTGATTTGATTTTAAGTGTAAGCTATAGTTTTTCACTCATTTGAAGGCATGCTTTCTGTTGTTCAGTAATCTTCTTGAAGATTCTCTATTTTCATTCATCCTTTGTTTAGTTATTGGTGGGTTTTTTTTTAATCCCATATATTATTAGTCAGAACTGAGAGAAAGCGATTCTATGACATTTCATCTGGAAGTTTTTAAATGTCCTCATTTTGGGTGTTCATATTTCTGTAGCAATCAAAAACTCTGAGCCTGGATACTAGGGACATAGCACAAGACAAAAAAGACAATTCCTGCTGTTCAGGTATTCATATTCTATCACACCTTACTCATCGGTCAGGCCTGCACAGTGTTTACATTGGCCTTTACCTTTTACACAGACTCTCTTCTCAGTTCTGTTCCATAGCTTTTTGTTGCTCTGCAGATTTGGAACTCTTGGCATTGTTGATGAGCTATGGGCAAGGGTCTGAAAGTCATTTTGTGCCCTTCATGCTGCTTGCCAGGCAGTTATTGTACAGTGCTAGTGCATGAGAGGTATATGTGCTTATCAATCAGACAACAGGAATGAGGGAAAGATGGTGTAGAGTGAGGTTAATTAAGTTTATTAATAAGCACATCCCAGAAATGCAGCGACTTTAGGAATGGAGGTGATGGTGGTAATCACTTCTCATAACACTGCAGCGTAGTCAGCCATCATCGCTACTAGGTCAGTCTTCTACTCATAGGAGAATTGTTCAATAAAATAAAGTGCAAGAACATGTGTTTACATTTTGTTCAGTCATATCTGAAGTCTTGGTGACCCCATGAACTATGTGCCGGTGCTTTCCATGGTATTTTCTTGGCAAAGATAGTAGAGTGATTTGCCATTTCCTTTTCCAGTGGATTGAGGCAAACAGGGTTAAGTGATTGGCCCAGGGTCACACAGCTAGTCAGTGTCTGAGGCAGGATTTGAACTCAAGTTGTCTCACTCCACTGTCCACTGGGCCACCTAGTTGCCTCTCATTTTCATCATATCTACCTGAAAAGAAAGAACACAACAGACTTCTAAGATTTAAGCTTATGTTTCATGCTGATTCAGTAGGTCTGATAATAGCTAGCATTTACTTAGTGTGTTAAGGTTTACAAAGTGCTTTAAAAATATTATTTCATTTTATCCTTACAACAGTCCTGGGAGTAAGTGCTACTGTTAGCCTCATTTTGCAGATGAGGAAACTAGGACAGACAAAAATTAAATGATTTACTTGCCCAGAGTAACCGGCAGGTGTTTGAGGCCTGATTTGAATTCCGGTCTTCCTTAATCTATTCACTGTGCCACCTATGTTTAGATAGTTATAATTTAATTTTTTTAAAAAAGCAAGCAAGCAAGCAGTGGAATGAGTTGAGAGTATTTATGGCATAGTAATCTGTGGTTTGAGCAAGAGGTAAAAATGCAGAGTCACCTAAACTGCCAGGTTTTAACTGTTAAACAGTGCACCTTTAGGAAATGATGAGTGAGATGGTCCCTGTGTTGAACAAACCGAGTTATTTCTTTAAACTACAGCAGATCTTGAGTGATGTAAAGTGGTGGTGTTTTTTTTATCAGACCCCCAAAACTTAGTAGAGAAGTTAATATAAAGATAAAAGTATTATGAATGTTTTTACATTAAATGTTGAATTGCTAATTATAATTTAAAACTAGGCAGGAAATTTTCTGTTCCTTCCTCTATATACACATGTTAAAGCGTCAGATTTGTTTTGATAATTGTTTTAATTCTCAGGTATTAATAAAATTATACTCTCAAGTAGTATTCTGAAAAGCTGACAGTTGATTGAATAGATACTGAACAGCATGATACCTTGTTGATTTCAGCAGGGGGGAGAGAATGTTGGCTTTTTTCACCCAGAGGGTCAGCCCCAACGACTTCCTCAGTCTCCAGAACTAAGACAGCATCCTGTTCGGAAAGTCACACTGACAAAGGGAACAACACTTCACCAGCAACAGCAGTCTCCAGTTGCAGCTCACATACACTCAACTGTTCCTCCAGGAGTTAAAAACATCCAAGGAATTCACTCAGCAAAGAAGGTAACATTTTTTTCTTTAGAATCAGTTGGCCCTTTCAGAAAGGTGAAGAATATATTTAATAAACATTGGAATTTTTTTTACTAGCCTTTCGAGAATTCAGGAATATCTATTACCTATTAGTTAACCTTGATGATTTCTCTTGTCTCACTTCTGAAAATAGTAAAATACCAGTAGCTGAGCTTGATACAGTGTGTTCAGGTTTGCAGAGTACTTTACATACATTAGCTCATTTGATCCCCACAACTTTATAAAGTAGGTTGGTCTCCCCACAGTTTACCTTAAGGAGTGGGGGGAATACTTTTGGGGAAATTATCTAAATTAACAGTTTGATTAAAAGTAGATTACAGAGTTCATGGGCCCATGTGAGGTATACTGGTTTGTCAATGAAGATTTAGAATAATGACTAAGAATAGTATAATGAATAATATATTTGTTTGTTGTCCAGTCAATCAGTGCAGTAAAGATTCTTGGTAGTGTCTAGGTGGGATGGGCTAGGGCAAGGTAGGGTAGGTGAAGCTTTAAACTGCTTAGTAGGGGTGAAGGGGTGAAGTCTCTTCAGGAGGATGGGATTGGATGTTGCTTGTGCTCAGGTCTGCCTCATCAACTACAGTATTGAAATCCCAGGGTTGGTGTCTACAGGTAGGCAGGTCTGTGAGAGGTTCAGGCAACAGCTAAAGAGAGCTCCTCTCCCTTACAGGACGCTGGAAAGGTAATGGAAGTCAGTGAGATTGAAGGAAGCAGCCACTGAGGCCATTCCCTGTCTAAACCAGAAGCCTCAGAGTGTCCAGGATCTCTAGGGGCTTCTTCTTTGAGCCACTCTATTAGGGGTGTCAGGTTCCAGGCTGAGATCAAGGACATAGCCAATTCTGGTAGCAATGTCTTTTTCTCAGGTTAGTTAGGTCTCAATGACTGCAGGACTCTGAGAAGCTGCTGTGTCCTCCAAAGCAGGAAGGAAGCTGAGCCACAGGCCTAGCCTGGTCCAGGGCCAGGGCCCCACTCACCCAAGTCTGAGCACAGTACAGGGTCTCCCTTGTCCCTAGCTCATCTTCCACATAGCTGCCTAATTGGCATTTCTAATGTATACCTCCAACCATATCATTCTCTTTTTTGAGAAGCTGATGATTATCCATTTTACTTAGGATAAAATACAGATTTCTCTTTGGGGTTTAAAGCCCTTCACATTCAGGCTCCATTCCAAGCTGATTGATTACACAATTCTTCTTCCTCACGTACACGACATTGTACTCTGCCAGGCCTAGGTGTTCTTTCCCATAACACACGCTGCCTTTTATTTACTTCCTCCATGTCTTTGGAAAGGCTGCCTCCCATGCTGAGAATGACTTTCTTCCTTACCTCTGCTTCTTCAAACCCCTGCCTTGTGTGGAGGCTAAGCTCAAGTACTGCTGCGCACATCAAGGCACTTCCTCATCCCCCTAGTTGTTACCATGCCCTAAATGTATTAATTCATGAACAGTTATTCTCTCCCCCCAGGAGAACCTAAGCTTCTTACTTTACTTGTATCCTCAGTACCTAGCATAGTGCCAAGTATATTGTAGGTGTTTAATAAATGCTTGTTAATTGCTTGATAGCTGCTGTAGGTGTTTTATTATCCCCATTTTATAGTTGTGCAGCCTAAGGCTTCTGAGTTTGTCATAGGCCATGATCACACAGTTATTAAGTGTTAGAAGGATATTTTAAACCTTAAGTTTCTTATGCTTCTTTAAAATCAGTGTTATCTCCACTATCCATACCATAGTGCGTTTCACTCGATGGGCTGTGCAGTGGAATCAGAGCATAAATTCATGTCCTTCTTTAGAAACTTGCTCTTTGACCCCGAGAAAGTCACACACCCTCTCTCAGCATCAGTTTCCTCCAGGGATGTGGCTTGATGGTCTCTTTGGTCTTTTCCGAATCTAAATTTGTATGATTCCTTGATCCTAAAAATGACTACAGATAAGTTTTCTTCAACATTTTCTTGATGAGACAACCCCACAGACTTTTAATTTAAAATCTAAGCTTTCTGGACAACTTGTTTCTTTCTTTCTTTTTTTTAAATTAATTAATTTATTTTTAGTTCTCAACATTCACTTCCATAAGCTTTTGAGTTTTAAATTTTCTCCCCCCCCATCCCCTCATCCCTCCTCAAGACGACTGGATAACCTGTTTCTTAAAGATGTTCATGGTGAGTAAAAATCAATTTTCTGTTTAATATGAAGCACTTCAACACCCCATTAGGAACTCTTTATACTCAGCCTGTCCTTCTTCACCTGAGAGTCTCCATAGCTGAGATTTATGCTTTGGTTAATTGATCTAACTGCAGTTGGTGGTTTCTTCTACTAAGGATTATGAGCTATTCCTAAACAATCTGTGGCATTAAAGTGTGTTCTCCTCTTTCTGTAGCATCAAAACCCTTTTGCTTAAGTTAAGTGTGTTATTGTGTAGTAGTGGTTAGAACACTGCGTGGCTACACTAAGCATCAGCAGATGCTGATTTTCTCTCCCTGGACATCAGCTTAAAAATTATCCTAAAAGATCATTGCTTTAGAATCCCTTCAAAACTCCCAAAGCTCTATAATTCTAAAGTTCCATGGGAAGCTAGAGTACAAAAAGATTGAGTGACTTCAAGGAATACTTAGTCATAGATGAAGTTTTTTGTAGTCTAATTTTTTTTTCTACTTTTGGATTTGGAATTGCTGTATTGAAATAGCTTCTGGATCTGATTTTAAAAAAATAAGTCCCATCATTGGAAAAAAAAATATACAGTGTGACACAGTAGATAAAATACTAGCATTTGAATCAAGGAAAACCTGGGTTTGAATGCTGCCTCTGACACTTTACTAGCTGCCTGACCATGGACAAATTACTTAACCTCTCCAAGCTTCCCTTTCCTCATCTGTAAAATGGGGATTATAATGCCCATAGTACCTACATCACAGTGTTGTTTAGATTATACATGTATAGATGTATATACATATATGTGTGCACACACATTATGTATGCATATAACAAAACTTAAAGTGATCTAAAATATCAATTATAATTATAGAGAAATTGTACATCTAAACCTATATTAGAGTTAGTTAAGGACATTTAATTGTTGCATTTTTAAGTTAAACATTTCTGGCAGTTTATTTCCTCTCACTTGTGCCTATGACTTATAGAAACTTTTTAGAATATTTGGAAGTTAGTCTTTTTGGTACATTTCAAGTACTTTGGGAGAAGGCTCAGGCAGTTTTACAAAGACTTCCCTTTTGGGTCATTATTGCTTGTCAACTCTGATACTAACTTTACTGTGAAATGTAATTAGAAGCGTCATGAACCTAATGACCAAGGGAGAGTAGACCAGAAATAGATTTGGAAAGATGAGAATGAATTGAATAATTTTATTAGTAGAAGCATCTCTTGGCCTTTTTTTTTTCTTTAAAGCAACACCAGTAACAACAATTTATTGAGCCAACTCCTTTGGCTAGGCACTTAAGACAAAGAGGTATGGGATCTATGTTATCAGAATAAGTTAGATTAAAGAGATCACCTATTACCCGTAAACCTCAGAAGGGCCCTACTTTAGGATGAGAACTTTCCGAATTTCTTTTATCTTGATGGCTATGTTTTTTACGGTTGTTATTGTTGTTATTAACAATAATTTTAACATTTATATAGCTTACAAAGCACTTTACAAATATTTCATCTCATCTTCACAGCAACTGTGGGGGATATGTAATAGTTAATATTATTATCTCCATTTTACAGTTGAAGAAGCTGAGGCAGACAGGTAAAGTGACTTGCACAGGGTCACGCAGCTAGTAGGTGTCTGAGGCCAGATTTGTTTAAGGAAGGGATAAATATCATAAAGCTCAAATTGACTTTAGAACTTTGTTTTTAGCAATCAGCTATTTCTTGAATAGTTGTACCCATTTTTTCCCAGATTTTTGAAAGTTATGATTCTGTTATTGATTAATATTGCAATGAGGATTTTAAATCTTTCATGTTTTTCCACAGTTACTCTTATAGTCAATTTCATGTCTTATTCATGTACTGTTGAATGAAACCAATTTCCTACCATATTAAAATGTGATTATTTGATTTTCATTAAGTCTTGTTTGCCACCTTTGTTTACCTACAGTTCTGGCTTCTTTTGAAATCTCCATATTACCTCTTAAGCATAATTCAAAAGAAATAATTTCATTATAATTTTAAGGAATGTTGTGTTTTTTTATAATTATTATTTCTTGTTGGAATCCACATAGGCCACAGAGTTCAATTTAAAATTTTTCCCACTGCCTTTCTTTTTTATTCTTCTCTGTTTTTCTTAGGAGGCTATTATTAAATAAGTGTTAGTGCTCGTTTCTGAAATTTCATGATGCTTTTTCTAGTGGAATAGGGCAACTGAACTATATCTAAAAAGTCATCCTTAGTTAAGAATGCCTAATCATAGGGGTTTAGGGGGGACTTTGTCCACTAAACTCTCTTCCAAAAGCTTAGAAATACCATCTGCTTTCCTGTCAGTTTAAGATTCTGAAGATTCCTTCCCAATCCAGTTTTCAATATGGCAATTAAAATATTTACAAAATGAGTTAGACAGATCTTGACTCAATTTAGTGTGTCTTTATGGTTCATATATACTTTTATAGGCTTTAAGTACCAAATAACCTGATTTTTCCATGTGAACAACTCATAATGCATATCATTTCAGCAGTTTATATTAGCTCACATTTATATATAATGCTTACGTATTAGATTATGTTTCCTGGGCAGTAGCCCTGTGTGACAGTATAAGAGTCGTCATCATCACCATCATCATTATCCTCAATTTTCAGATGAGAGCACTGAAACTTACAGAGGTTTCATGACTTGCTTACTTAGGAATTTTAGGTAAGACTTCTGATCCTAAAACCATTGCTTTTTACGTCAACCAGGGTGCCTCTCAAATGTAAAACTAGTCATCAATGTTGATGTGTCTCAGGCAACAATATGTTACAATGGAAAGAGCCCTAGTAGTTGGGAGACCCAGAGGTTTTAACCTTACCTTTGTGACTCTGGGCCTTGATTTCTTCCTCTACAAAACAAGTAAGTTTGACTAGAGATGATGTCTTATACTCCTTCCTGTTCCAAAATGCTGCACACTAATGATTAGCTGGTAAAACATTCTGGAAAAATAGCCGACAGTAGACAGGAAGCTGCCAAAGAGGAAATAGCTCATTTGCCTTTGTCAGCTGCACAGTATTTCGATTAATTCTGAGTTAATTGCTTACTTTTCATATCTTTCTATCTATGAAAATAACCAAAGCTCAAACTTAGTAAATCACAACACTCTTACTTTTTGTTGTTGGCAGGTCATTATGCATGGGAGAGGCAGAGGAGTAGCAGGCCAGATGGGCCGGGGACGCTTGATGCCAAATAAACAGAACCTGCGCGTGGTGGAGTGCAAACCTCAGCCCTGTATTGTGTCAGTTGAAGGGCTTTCTTCATCAACTACTGATGTCCAACTGAAAAACCTGCTGATGTCAGTAGGACCCATTCAGGTAGGTCACCCTTGGTTTATCATCTATATGCTAAAAGTCTTTCATACCCCTAAGCTAAATTAATTCTGTAATATCAGGTGCTGTGTTCTTTATGGGTTGGTTACTTCAGTTTAAAATAACACACTAGAAAGGAAAGATAGACTTCTGGGTTACTGTACAACACTAGATTTCAGTAGGAACATTTATTACATATAAATGCAGGTATACAGTTTAGGCATAAGATTTTTTTTATCACTTCAAATCAGTTGTTTTGTACAGAAGACCATTCTAAAATTTCATATTAAGCTCTTCAGCATGTTTGTAATTAATTACATACTTAGTGGCAGTGGAGGAATCAAAAAAATTTTTTTTGACTGTTAACACTTTTTTAAAATAATATTTCACTGTCTAACCCTGTACCTTGGCAAGAGGACTCCTTTTAGGTTTATAGATGTATAAGATTTTGACATTTACGACAATTTTCCCAGCACGTTTAGACTCTTTTTATTCTAACCCTTAGAATATTGTGTTGAGCTAACTATAAAAACTTCTCCAGCACTGTTATTGTGAAAACTTGAAGTTAGCCATCAGAATTCCCCTGCATGGTACTGTTGCTGGAGCCATTATGTGAATGAGAATACAAAAATAGGTAGACCATTGGATTCTTCCTTGAATGAAGCCAGATAGATAGATAGATAGATAGATAGATAGATAGATAGATGGATTGATTTTTTTTTGGATCTGCCCTTTTCTATTAATGTCCACCAACACACACCCCATTCCACTTTCACATTTATCTGTGAGTGTGGAACCAGTTTAAGCAGCATGAGTAATGTGGTTGCATTTTCCTGTCATATAGAGTGAACTTGTTCTTACATTATTGTTTTAACTAAAATGTCTTTGGAAACTTCATTTAATAGAACAGACTGGCAGGAGCTAGACTTAAAAACGATGCTTAGATATCATGGTCCAAAGAGTGCATATAAGAGTTATTTTGTCTCTAGCAGAGTCAGATAGCTGATGCTAGTTTACAAGAACAGGACTGAGCACTGAGAACTTTTATTTGCATTGCCATACATATCTACATCTACATGCACACGCACATGCAAGCTTACACACATGTACACACTACACATGCATAAATGTGCACGCACACACAAATAATAATATAGTAGGATTTGAAGTTTAATGACAGAGCCAGGTCTGGAGCTTAGTCTTATAGTTCTGAATTGTGACAAAGTACCAATGATCCCTGGTTGTGATGGCTCATCCTTTTCTATTCAGTGTCTATAAATCCCTAGTTCAAGTGGGCTAATTTCAGTCAGTTAGCCAACAAGCTTGTAATTCACCTACTATTTCTGATACTGTTTCATGTGCTAGGGTACGAAGACAAAAATGAAACTGCTCTTAGTCACAAGGAGGTTACAGTCTGTGGGGAAACAACATGCTCACATATAAATGTTTATAAAATAAAAAGCCATTTGGGGAAGGTGACACTAGCTACTGGAAGAATCAGGAAGGCCCTCCTATATGACGTGGTCCCAGACCTCAGCTTTGGAGAAAAGTATGGAATCTTTCAGAGGCAGAAGCAAGGAAGGGTTCCAATCCTCGGCAAAGGCAAGGATTTAGTTTCTCACTCAAGGATTCAGTGTCATTGAAAGAAATATTTATTATTATAATACACAGATTATAGTGAGCAACTGGTATTCCAAAGACAGGTGCTTCTGCTGTCTTCTAGACTCTGTTAAAATAGATTTTTTTTAAACCCCCAAAGTGACATTGTGAAGATTACTTTAGGAGGTCTCTGATCTTGAAAACTCTTAAAGGGAAGTTAATATTTCTCTCAGTAAAAATTAGTATTTCTCTTGACTTGTGCCAAGACAAAACCTTTGTATAAATAGAAGAATGTATATTTGTAACCTAATTGCCTTCTGACATCACCACTCCCCTTTTAATTGCTTTTCCGTCTCTATCATAATCCACTAATTCTCTGAACCGAAAAGAATAAGAAAACACTCTATTCTAAAAATATATAACCAGGCTATGCAGAACATATAATAAGAGGAAGATTGCTAATATTTAGTAATTTAACACCCCCATTTACTACCATTTCCTTCCTTCCTTCCTTCCTTCCTTCCTTCCTTCCTTCCTTCCTTCCTTCCTTCCTTCCTTCCTTCCTTCCTTCCTTCCTTCCTTCCTTCCTACCATTAATGTAGTTACCAGCTTACATTTGTTACATTAAAATTTATTTTCTGACTAACCTGAAAGACTGATCATAAAAACAAACAAAACAGTCCCTGAGGAATGATGGATTTAGCTCTTATTCTGAAGCTAGTTATTCTTACCCTTAAGAAGAAAGCACAGTGATCTCATTTCTTGCCAGTCAACCCAGGAGAATGTCTTAAGTAGCATTTTTATAGATTTTTAAAAAAAGAACCTCCATTGCACCAGAATGTTGGCTTTCTCAGTGAAAAAAAGTTGTTGCAAACTTTTAGCATTAAGTATTATTATGGCAGATAAAGAATTTTACTTATCCAGGATACTGCATTGAGTGGTTTATATGACATGAATTCACTATAATATAGATAGATTATTTGAGGCTATAGAACATCAGATTTTTGGTAAGAGACTCTCCAGACTTTGTTGTTTGAGAAGGAAAATGTGTGCCTATTAAATATTTTGTTTGTTTCCTTAAGCTTATGGCACTGCCTAGTGTTCGCTTCAGGCAATTGCATGTTAATAGCTAACCATAATTAGAGAGTACTATTGTTCCTTTTTAAGTAGTTTGTAATAGAAAATCTTAATAATAGAGCAAAGTAACTTTAATTTGTAGGTTACATTGTTTTGCCTGGAAAAACTGAGAACTATTCCATTAAAGCACACATAAACAACCAATATTGTTGTTGAGATAATCTTTTACTTCCCTCAACAGTACTGGAAGTAACATTAGTTTAATTTTAATAATAACGATCTTACATCTACGTAGCACTTTTAAGATTTTGCAGTTTGCCTTTTCTTGTTACTATTCCTTGTTACTATTTATGGCTGTAGGCTCACAAGATCTGGTTGTCCTTGACTCCTAACTCCTTTGCCCAGCCTTGTTGTTTCTGAGTTACAGCATCTCTCCTACGGAGCCCTTTCTCTGCTCACTCTGATATCACTCACCATTCCCCTAGACTCATGGCTCCCTTCCTCAATTCTCATCCCCATAGCAATCCATCCTCCACCTCGTCTAGAAAGACTTTGTCTAAAGCACAAACTATGGCACCCTCTCCCCAGTTGTTCAGTAAATTCTAGTGTCTGCCTATTTTGGTCTGTCAGGATCAAATTTTAAGTACTCCATTTGGCATTTAAAGCGCTTCATAACCTGGTCCCTTCCTGTCTTCCCAGCCGTCTTAATGTTTTACGCATTCACTGCCCCTTTCATGTCACCGTTCTTTGTAATCCAGTTACACTCACCAACTTGCAGCTTCTCTTATGTGACACTACATTTCCTGTCTCCTTGCCTTTTCAGTAGCTTTCTTTCATACCTGGAATGATCTCCCTCCTTACCTCTACCTCTTAGTTTCTCTCACTCCCTTCAGGATTCAACTGTGATCTTTCCCTCTTCTGGAGGCCTTTTCTGATCCCACCCCCACCCCCACCTATTGCCTTCTTCTCTGAGGTATCCTTCTGCCTGCTCTGTCACCTTCATTAGAATGTAAACTCCCTGAGGTCAAAGTTTGTCTTTCCTTTCTTTCTATTCTTGGCACTTGGAACAGTTCTTGTCCTGTGGTCAGCACTTAATACAGACTGTTTTATTGATTCTCACTGCTTTTTGTTGTTGTTTATTATCCCCATTTACCGATTAGAGCTGGTGGGGGATGCTGAGCCTGGAGTCAGAAAGACCCGAGGCCAAGTCTGACCTCAGACACTTGTTAGCTGTGTGACCCTGAGTAAGTCATTTAACCCTGTTTGCCTCTGCTTCCTCATCTATGTAATGAGCTGGAGAAGTTTCTTTGCCAAGAAAATCCCAAGTGGAGTCATGAAGAGTCAGACCCCACTGAAATGACTGAACAGCAACAGCAGATCAGGGAACAGGCTCACAGACGTGTCACAGTTTGCTGAAGATCACACACTTAACGTCTGAGGTGTACGTTAAACCCCAGGTCTTACTACTTCCAAACCAAAGTTCTCTGCAATACTACATTGCCACTTTGGTCGAATTTAGACAGTAGTGCCACCGCTAATATAAAGGTTAAATTTTAATAATCTTTTTCATCAGAAATTTCATAATATAAGTGTCATTAGGTATATATTCTATGACTTTATAGGAGTTAAGATGATAAGATATTAACTAAAAATGTCAGATGTGCTATGAAATAGAAAATATTTATGTGGAGGTCATTGAGGCAGAGGATAGGGAGTGAGGAGAGCAGCCTAGAAGGCAGAGTCAGCAAGAAGGTAGTCAGGGCAGGCCAAAGTTTCCAACCATGAAAGGAGCAAATAGATGTAGAAATATTTTCAGAGTTTTGGAAGAGTCCAGGAAGTGAGAAATGGACATAGAATGATCTGGTATACCACTCCCAAATCACGTTTTAAAAGATTAAATTAAGTTTACCTTTAGGGCTGGCTAAATAGGCCCATTGAGATGGGGGGAGGAGAGAAGAACCTGGATCTTTGCCTGAAACATCTCTCTATTGCTTGCCTATATCTAAAATTAAAATGATCAAAACAGGAAGTAAATGAGATTAAGTGCATTTTCACAATGTTTAAAATACAAGTGCTTGATTAATTTATTAAGCATTTATTATGTGCTTGTCCCTGTACTAGATTCTGGAACTACAAGGACAAAAGCAAAACAATCCCTGCCCTCAAGGAGCTGCCATACAGTCATCTAGTCAGTAAATCAAATAATTGACCAGGTATTAGTAAACTCCTTGAAGAGTAGATTACTATTTTGAAAGGGTAGAGAAGGTGAATCAAGCATAAGGGTATGGGGTGACAAGAATTGAAATGACACCACGAGAAGGTTAGTTATA